GGCAAGATAAGATGAGTTGTGTTAAGTCTTTTACCTCTGGTGCACAAAAATCAGGAAGAAGAAGTTGATTTGAGGTGTGTAAATCAGATGCTGATGCAGCTATAAACAAGCCACCCGAAACATATTCTAAAATCCAGCTGGAAAAATAAAGAAAGAATATAGAGTGAAAATCCTGACAAACTCCACGCGAACAACCTAAATCACCTATTTAAAACAACAGAATCCCTTGTATTTCAAAGCAAATCTCGATTTAAGTGGTGTTTTTGCTAGAGAGATTATTTTTTCAAATTGTTTATGAGCAACATTTTCTCCCAATTCTGTTCGAAGAAAAAGAAATTTTACTTATTATCATTCTTAGAATTTATAAGCAAGTTCAACAAGAAGCTAGAACTTGCAATGCTAAAAAACAGCGCAACTCAAAAGATGAGCTCTACCAAACACCTCCCGAATAAGATACAGTGAGAGACCAGGTAAGCTCTCATATCTCCTCTCACTCAACAATTTCTCTTTATTTCGTGTTTACTCCTATAATAAGATCAATAGTAGGAGGATATCAACTAATAAATAAAATAAATAGAAACTATGATAACCTCTTTGGTTTTGATAATCCTTTCACGAAGGTGATAATTTAGCAATGATAGTAGACAATTAAAGGTAATTTAGCAATGATAGTAGACAATTAAAGGTCTCAAAATTTGGTTCATTGGCATCAACATATTTCGTTGCAATATCATTTAATTTATTGATTTGATCAATGATAGGTTTGGAATCACTCATTTTGAAATCAATGTATTTGTGGACAAGAAAATACTTGTTGCCAACATCCTCATTCACATATCCTTGTTCTATCTCATGCCATAACTCAAGAGTAGTGGAGTGTTTGTGAAAAGCATTGAAAAGAGCATTGGTCATGGCCTGCAAAATAGTTAAACAGCAAACATAATCATTTTCAAGCCACTTGTGTTGCTTCTTTGTTAATTCTCCATTTCTAGTGCTAGGACAGTCTTGTGAATATGAATCATGCAAGACATATGCCACTTTCCAAATAGTAATTTGATAATAAATCTTCATGCTCCAGCGCTTGTAATTCAACCCATTGAAGCATTTTGATTTCTCAACATCAATATGTGGTTTGACAATTCTGGACTCCATTGGAAAAGATTATTATCCTTAAATTGTTGTATCTGGGTGTTGGATCCTGATTGGTGCACACCCGGATTCAACACTCGGGTGTGCACCCCCACATAAAAAAAAAATTGAACCGGGTGGGTGATGGGCATTTTTTTTTCAAAGGGGAGTGTGCACACCCGGGTGTGCACATATCTTTATCCTTGTAGAAAATGTTATCCCTAAGATATTATGCCCACTAAAATAAACTTCAATCACCCAATTAGTATATTGAAAATGTGAAAGCACAGTGCAGAAATCAAAGAAGAAAACAAAGAAATTAAAGGTTTTGAAAAGTTTTTCTATTTATGGAGCTCTTTTTATTCATAAACAAACTTCAATGAGTGCCTTTCACACCATAATAGAATAAATACAACTCTACAAAAGATTGTCACTCTTCTATATCTAATGTTTATAAAAAAAATATATTTTAAATATTCTGCACCATTTGAGACAGTTTTTTAAATTTTAAATTTAACTTTGAATTTGAAATGAGCAAAAGAAACCATTTTAAACTATATCTAATGTTTATAAAAAAAATATATTTTAAATATTCTGCACCATTTGAGACAGTTTTTTAAATTTTAAATTTAACTTTGAATTTGAAAATATTTTTCAAATAAAGTAAAACAATTTTCAACCACTTTCTTTTCTATCTTCATCTTTTCTCTTTCTTCCTTGTTTTGACATTGCTCAATATTTCATGCAATGAAAAATCGTACCCACATGCATCAGCTAAAAATAAAAGTAATGAACTCCACCAAGTGGTCCAATGGTCACGACGCGTTTCATTGAGGCCGATGAACTGTTTATCAGATCTGAAAATCGAATTCTCAATTACTAACATCTAATAATATTAACTTGCTATCTATTACCTTTATCAAAAAAAATAAAAAAAGAGTAAAAGTGATGCATATATATACTATATTATAAAATATAATATAATATAAATCATAAATATATTATTAAAAGATACCTACATATATATACGTGTATATACACACACACGTAACAGAGGAGAGGTGAGGGGATTGAGAGATTTTCTTATTTGGATAAAAATAAATTGGAGGGGAACCCATTTCTCTCTATTTCTCTCAGACCAATCACGCTTTAGCTTCTCAAGTTCACATCTATCGCATAAGCCTCCAAGTCCAAGAAGAGGTTGTGGCCTTGCAGCAAATACTTGCAGGGAAGGTATCATTAGAGATGACTCTCGGAGATGGTTGCTTTGTGTGGTGTTTGGAAAGCATTACTTGCAGCCTGGGCTATCGGTAGCAACTCTTGTGTGTGATTTCGGGAGTGATTACGCTATTCAAGAGCGTGGTGTACAGGAGGAAGCTTTTCGATAACGAGAACAATGTCAAGCCATACTGCCAGTGGAGAAAAACCTCAAGGCCCAGAACTCACAGGCCTTTGAAGGAGTGGAGTCTGCCCACGAGTGACAACCTTATTGAAGACAAGTGATCCACCGGTAACTCATTGTTGACATTGTTGTTACGGATTCGGCCCAACCTAAACATTAAAAATTTAGGTCAGTGAGGTATTAAGATTGATGTTGTCTGACCTATAAAAATATAAATAAATAAAGGTTGTTGTTGTCTATTTTTTTTATTTTTGTTCGAAATTTCAATGACTAAAATTAAAAATTACAATTTAAAAACTAAAAATGACAACTTGAACCTGAGTATGAAATTTCAAAATTAATGTTTAAAATTAATTTTTTTATTTAATTTAATATATTTTTCAAAATTTGAAAACAAGAACTAAAAGCAGACAACAACAATACTCAATAGGACTTAATTGCTAACCATGTAGGCAATTCACTGATAATTTTTTTTTTTCTAAATTTAAGCCATATAAGTAGGATAATTTAAGAAATGTAAGAAAGTTACATCACATAATGTAACTCAAAATCTTTCTGCTAATTTTTTAAGATAAATTATATTTATTCATTAGTTCCATATGAGACCCGTTTCGTATAACAATTAAAATTTAGTAGATAATGGGTAATCGATAGCAAGTAATAGATGGCGACTGATAGAAAGTAGGTAGTGAATAGTAAATAACAAATTCGATTAATATGATTGTTTGGTTATATAATAATTAACCATTATTGTTCAATGTTAAATAACTAATGGGAATATTTTTAAAAACAATTAAGTGTATTTTTTTTAATATATTTTATTATTAAAATTATTAATTTTACAAAAATAAAAATAAGAAAATAAATAAAATAAATTATCATAGTATAATCACACATTTATTTTTATCTTTAATAAATAAAAAAATTATATTATTTTTAAATAAAAAAATTTAATTATTTTGTCTAATTAGTAAATTTTGTTTATTAATGTAAGGTTAAATGCCAATATTGGTTTCTCAACTTTAAGGTTTTGCATAACTTTCATCTCTCAACTTTTTTATGCACTTTTTTGGTCCATTAATTATAAAAAAAAATGTATTTTTTTTAGATTTTTCATCAGTTAATTAGTTAAATTTTTCTAAATTTATAAGTTGAGGGACTAAAAATATGTATATTTAGATAAATTTAACAAACTAACTGATGAAATTATTAGAAAAGTGCATTCTTTATAGTCAATGGACTAAAAAAGTATATAAAAAAAAGTTAAGGGATGAAAATTATGTAAAATCCTAAAGTTAAGAGACCAAAATTTTCATTTAACCTTAAGCTTTTTTTTTTTATGATAAATTTATGTAAAAAATAAAAATATAATAACAACTTAATGTTATTAAAGATTAAAAAAATGAAATTAAAACTCACTAGGTAAATACTAATTAAAAATCATGCCCAAAAATCAAAAAGTTAAAATGATTAAATTTATCAATAAAATTAAAAAATTTTAATCTATTAGTTGTTTAGTATAAAAAACTATTTAAATTAACTTTTTTTTCAATTTACTAATAATTTAAATTCTAATTGCTATTAACTAGTTTTATAACCACTAAATAAAAATTTTTAACAAATATATTATTTATAATAAATTTAAAATATAAATTTACTAATATTTTTAGTGATTTGAGTAAAATCACCTATCGTTATCTCAAATTGTATGCCAATGTGCTCATGGTTTGGATGGGGACTATTTGACCCTTTAAATACTCCAAGCGTCTGTAGTACATAGGGTTGGGCATAATATGGTAATCGTACCGCACTCAAATGATGATAACCGTTTTAAGTGGTAATGAAAAAGAGTTACCACTTTCATACCAATTGATGATTTTTTGGTAATGGATGCCAACCGTTTTTAATGGTAATGAAACTTGTTTTACCAATACCATACCATATTACCATCTTTAAACTTATTTTCTTCATTATCAATTAATTCAAGTCATTCAAAATTCAATCTTAAAAGCTCAAAATTATCTTAAAAACTTATTTTCTTCATATCGTTTTTTATCATCTTGAAGCATACAAATATATAATTATACAAAACATGCACACATCAAAAAAAAAAAAAAGAGAGAACTAGCAACAATTGAAAACTTTGTAGAATAAAAAAAAAAAAGAGGAAAAAGATTTGAATGATCGGTAAATTTGGTAACTATATGGTAAAAATGGTAATGACCTCCAATATCAATACTGTACCACAGGTCTAAATGGTATTTGCCATATTACTATTTAGACTTATCATATGGTAATTTACCATACTGTTTCCGCTAGTAATAGTATGGTACAATGGTAATTGTGGCATTTATGGTATACTACCCAGCCCTAGTAATACATCACACATTTTGTGGTAGAGGGTGGTTAATTACGACCATGGACACAGACAAATCCCCACTGAGGAGACACAAGGAAGACAGAAGGCGAGCCTAGGATCAAGACTTTTCTCATCTCTCACACCTGGCAGGTAAAGGCGTCAAGACGGGTAATTTTTTTACTTTAAATCCAACCTTCTTTCAAACGGTGTTTGTTAACCAACCACATGCATCAATAGAACATCTCATCATCATGAACATGTTAGTTGATTAAGAAATGCCTGAAAGTCTCCAATGATTTTGAACACATCCAAATTCCAATAACGTTCTTATGTAGTGTAGGTAGACACATGCCAAAGGCAGCGAAAGTATGCGTCACTACAACGCTTCAAGAGATTAGAATATATAATTGGTAAGAAATTAAATTTTCTCCTTACCGTGTTAATCGAGTCTAAGAGAATGGTTTTTCACAAATTATTTAATTTAGGCAAGAATTGCTTTTTTTTTTTTTTTTCTGAAACATGACGCTAATAAACATAATATTATGATTTTACCAAGATAGAGAACAAGGTTAAGGAAAGATGAAATTAAGTTCTTTAATGTGAAGAAAGAATTAATATACACTTGCCAATAGAACAAAGCACTCAGGCAATACATGACAATTATTTGACTTCTTGCAAATGCAATTCAAGAGCTACCTCTAGGGCAAAAGTAACATATGGTTACTGGTGTAAAAGCTCAAGAGCCTTTAGCAATGTGGGTCTGAACCTATTGACATCAAGTCTCACATTCTGTTTGTCCAAATAAACAGACTTGAATGCATACCAACCCTGTTTTGAAATGGAAATTGGGTTACTCAAAATCTCGTGCCCTGCCGGAAATTCCTGAATCAAACTGCTCTCTTCGGTCTTAATCTTGTATTCCAAGTACCTTAAATTCATGTCCTTGGAAGGTTCTTCGAAGTAGGCTTTGGCCAACCACTCGAATCCACCAAAGGGCACCACCTGAATCAAAACTGCATGTTCAGGTAAAAACACCATGTTGGTGAGCCCAGCACCGTGAACTCCCATCAAAACGTCACAAGAATTCACAATCTCCGAGAACTTAGACATGTTCGTGTCTGGTTCCGCCACCACCACTTTGAACCCCAGCCTCCTGGCTGCTCTGGCGATCTCCTCCGTATTCATGAAAGTTCTCGTCCTCTTCCTTGAAATGATCAGAAGCCGAGGCCTTTGCTTCTTCCCATCGCTCATCTTGATAGCTCTAGATTTCTTTAAAGGATATGAATTTCTCAGAAAAACCCTGAAGTCTCTCATGGAGTATGGAGATTTCGAAGGATCGATCTTCAGCTCTTTGGGGTGACGTTTCAGTCCGATGATCACACTGGGGAAGCAATGAACTTCCTTTTCGTTGTCAATGTCGCTGAACTCATATCTAGAAAGATTCTCCAGAAGCTTCTGGAACTTTGCAACCCATCTCTGCCATCTGTTGGTTATCAAAAACTTAACTTCCCCGTTAAACTTCCTAGCCGTTAAAAACAGAGGAACAACAACGTCAGTGAAGTCGTGGAAGTTGTTACCGGCATATCCTCCAGTGGAAAAAAGGATGGCCGGAACATTGTGAGATTGAGAGCATTGAGGGACTGAAATATTGTTGCTGGTAACTGATGTCACCGACCATTGCCTGACAATTTTCATGGCTTCTTCGTCCCCCTTCCTAGCATAAGGCTTGATAGTCCATGAGCTGTTACCAGAATTTTCTTGGTCAGATGAAACAATGAAAACAGAGGAAGAACTTGGATCAATCCTTATATCTCCATTGATTTCACAGACATCCGTTCTCTCCTCCATAGTACACACTAGCTCTGATTTCTTCTCCACAGGATCTGGACCATGAAAACCACACAAATCAATAAGTAACATAGGACACGATTTAAACA